CACACACACACACACACACATACACGCTGTAAAAGATGAACCCAGTTGCTCTCACTGGCTGAAAGACCTTCTGAGACAATGAAACATGAGAGCAGTCGCTGATAGACAGTCCTGAGGCATAGTAGTGTTAGAGCTAGTAAAGTTAATTTCCATTCAGCAGTTCTACCTTAATGTTCTCCTGAGGGCTGAAATTAAAAGCAATAATGTGCAATGAGTTAATCACATATTTCACTTGATAGTGATAGTGATATAGCAATGAAAAGAACCATAAGTACTGAGTGTAATTGAGCACTGTGAGAATCTATTTAATAGAGATAAAAGGAAAAAGTGGGTATGCATAAAAAGTAGGCTGTGCAGCCATGGACCCTCTTAACTCTAAAAAATTTCCTGGAACCCATTAGCACAATTATTTTAAAAGCAACACAATCCAGCTATGCAAATATTAGCTTCATTATTTACTGGAGCCATATGGATTTTTATTCCTGCACTTTTTATGTACAGAACACATTCTTATAAAAACTGTCATTAGATTCAACCCCCTGGCTATACTTCAGAAACCCCTGTGGGTCCCTGGAGCTCTATTTGAGAGCTACTGGTTTAAGGGATTGGCTAGGCGAATTAAACACAATGTATTAAATCAGGGATCATTCAAGATATTGCTGAATGAAGTTTGGTTCTTTAGGTTTTTTTTTTTATTAATCTTAAACTGCATGCAGTTCTTCAGTACAGGGATATCACATAATTTTGCTAATGCTAACCCTAAACTTCCAGACTTACTAGTTAGCTACATTAACCTCGTAATTGCAGGGCAAAAATAAAGAAGCACAAATCAGACAGCAACCATGTCTTGGTGGATCGACTACATTTGCAGAAATTAATAAAAATGTGCTATTTTATTAAGTAATTTATACCTGAGATTAAAAAAAAAGAAAAAAGAATAAAAAAGTAGAAATTACTTAAAAATATCTAGAAATCTTTAAAAATAGCAGTGTGTGCTACTTTCTATCAATGACTTAAACATACTACAGTATCTATTTATGTAAAACCTTTTTTATAGTACACACCAATAGATGGCAAAACAATTAGAGGTCTATTTAGAAAATGGTCCATGCTTATTATTATATCATTATTCATATATTCCAAATTGATATGGAAACTGACAAATTCCTCTAAAAGCAGTTTTCTATTAGCTCATACTGCCAATGTGAGCTGCGTGATGAATAATCGCTGCAGAAGAGAAAAGAGTGACAAATGAATATAAGTGAGGTATTAGTGTGGGAGTGTGTGTGTGTGTGTGTTTGCGAGTGTGTGTGTGTGTTGAGTTGAGTAGGATGTTTGGGTACTAATGTTAGTGGCACATGAGTGTTATGAGTGTGCTTGATGAAGGAGGTGGCTCTTTTATCTCTGTGTGTGTGTGGCCCAGTACAATGAGGTGTGTGACTCCTAAGACCCTGCAGGAAGAAACTAACTTTGTTACATGTGTCTATATTGGTGTGTGTGTGTGTGTGTTGAGTTGAGTAGGATGTTTGGGCACTAATGTTAGAGGCATATGAGTGCTATGAGTGTGCCTGAAGAAGGAGGTGGCTCTTTTATCTCTGTGTGTGTGTGTGTGTGTTTGTGTGTGGCCCTGCACAATGAGGTGTATGACTCCTAACACCCTGCAGGAAGAAACTCACTATGGTACATGTGTCTATATTGGTGTGTGTGCGCGTGTGTGTGTGTGTGTCTGTGTATGTGAACAGAGATGATTAATAGGGAAAAGGAGGAAGGACAGAGATGAGTATGAACATCTCAGGAGCATGAGAAGAGAGGGAGGAGCGAAAGGAATGAGAGGTGGAGAGAAAGAGGGGGATAGACTCTGCTTCGTCGCTTGGAGTCTCATTGCAGTAGTGTTTTTATTCCAGCCTCATGTTACGGCTCCATCACAGCTGGAGCTTCCCACACATGCTTGTCTCCACACACGGATCAGCCAGTGTGAAGAAAGACCCTGAGTTTGGAGACTAGAGTTTGAAGACTGAGGCACAGTGTTGTGTGGACATTCAGTACCTGTTTGGATTCTACAGTTTGGACGTTGCATTTTGGTGAAAAATCTGCTTGGGAGCTAAATTTTGGATATTGTGGATTGGGGAAGCAATAGTCAGTGGACTCTGGAGTTTGGACATTGTGGCATGGATAGCCTTTTTTGGACAATAGAGTTTGGACACTGAAGTATGTATAGTGAGTACCTTTCTGACCATTAGAGTTTGGATATTGGAGTATAGATAGTCAGTATATGTTCAGACAGCTGATTTGGGTATTGGAATATGGATAGACAGTACCTTATTAGACACTTTATTTATATTGGAGTATGATTATAAAGTATCTCAGTAGAAAGGTTTGGATATTGAAATATAGATAGCTGTTTAACTCTAGAGTTTGGACATTAGAGTAAGGATATCCACAAGAGTTTGGATATTGGATTAGGGATATTAGGAGTCTCCTTGGAGTACGCATAGTAAGTACATCTCTAAACATTAGAGTTTGAATATAGGAACATATAGGAATATTCACTAGAGTCTGAATATTGGAATAGAGATAGTCAGTATATTTGTACATTGTAGTATGAATATTTATTTTCATACTGGACACTCGTGTCTTAATATTGGAGTATGGAAAGCCAGTGTGTTGTCTGGCAATAGAATCTGGATACAGGAGCATGAATATTAGGTATCCGCTTGGATATACAGTATCTCTTTGGATAAAAGAGTTTTTAATATTGACATATCGACAGTTAGCGGTTCAATTTTGGAAAATGACTAATAGATACTTTATTGGACAGCTGGTATCTCTTTGGAGACTAGAGTTTTGATATTGGTGTATGAATAGTGTATGTTTATACATTAGAGTTTGGATATTGTAATATTAATATGAGATCCTTTTTGGAAACCAGTGTTGAGGCATGAATTGTCAGTATCTCTCTTGGTAGTATCTCTATCTAATTTGGCTGTTGAACATTAGATTCAGACATTGAAGTATGAATACTCTTGGTGCCTCTCTGACAATTTCTTAGATATTGCAGTATGAATAGCCAGTATCTCTATAGAGACTACGGTTTGGATATTGGACTATAAAAAGCAGGATAACTTTACAGACTGCACTTTGCATATTAGAGTATGAATAGCCAGTATTTCTTTAGAGACTACAGTTTGGATATTGGAGCATGAAAAACCAATATCTGTTTAGAACCTACAGTTTGGATACTGGTGTATGAATAACCAGTATCTCTTTAGGGCCAGACCGTAGATATTGGGGTATAAATAGCCAGTATCTCTTCAGAGACTATAGTTTGGATATTGGCATATGAATATCCAGTATTATTTTAGAGAGTACAGTTTGGATATTGGAGTGTGGATAACCAGTATCTCTTTGTAGCATACAGTTCAGATACTGTTGTGTGAATAACCACTATCTCTAGAGACTATGGTTTGAATTTTGGATTATGAATAGCCAGTATCTCTTTAGAGACTACAGTTTGGGTATTGAAGTATGAATAGCCAGTATCTCTTTAGAAATGAGAGTTTGGATATTGAATTATGAATAGACAGTATCTTTTTAGAGACTAAAATTTGGATATGGGCGTTTGAAGAGCCAGTACCTCTTTAGAAAGTACTATTTGGTATTGAGTATGAATAGCCAGCATCTTTTCAGAGAGTAGGATTATTGAGGTATTGAGTACTGCTACAATTGATATCTCTTTAGAAACTAGTACTTGGATGTAGCCTGATCCAAATTTAGCTACAGGAAGTTGAAAAACGATAGCATCATATGTAGAGATGTTAAGACATTGAGATCGTTAGCACTTTTAGGGAAATACAAGCACACCCACATACATGCATGATTATATTTAGCCATTCAAACTATATACTGTACATACTCACCCATTAACTGACTGCAGATTTTTTAGAAAAGTAAAAATTCCCTGTATACATTTGCAGAGTTGAATGGCACCATGGATGATATGTGATCTCTGATCAAAGACACACAAGCCAAATTTATTCTAAGGCGGATACACTGAGGAGCTTTGGCTTGCTTTTGGAGAGGGTGTGCAGTAGCATGCTCAGTGTGATTTTGGAAGTAATGCTGTAAACTGCAGTGAGGGTTAGCAAAAGTGTATGTAGAATATAGACGGGTCTCATACTCCGGTGTGGAAAAGCATGGAGACGTGACACCGCAGCCATGCTGTGCGGTTTACGGAGAGAAGGCCGCAATGGTGAGTCTAGCCATCTTTTACATCTTCATCTATCCATCTCTATTTGCCTAACAAACTTCACTCTGCCAATTTTTTTTTTTGGGATTGAAAATGAGATTAATATATTACAAGTAATAGTATAATGATCATTGCACTAAAGTGGCTCTTTTTGTAGCATTTTCTCTGCTTGCAAGCCTCATTGCTATGTGATCAATGACTAGCCTGGCTCATTATTGACTGATCACACAAACTTCAATCTTATTATTTTTACCACTAAATAAACCGTCTGTCTAGAACGTTCCTCACTGATGTTTGTAGGTGTTCATGGAAAACTGTGGAGCTATGGGAGAGAAGTATTAACCAGGTCTTGTGTCGGCTCTATAAATAAACCAGGTCTGAAAATAGGCCCACCAGCATTGTAGGAACATCCGGCGTTTAACCTACATCAGGAATGGTGTCATCGCAAGCTGGGCTGCCGGAGTGTAACGCTCTAAATTACTTTGTGACTTTTTAATTGAGTTGTAAAATGAGTTGTGCATGCTAAAAGTGAAGCTTTTTTTAAGAACTCATGAAGCATGTGTTTCAGAGACTTTGCGTCTCTGTGTCATGTGTGAAATGCTATACAGCACATTCAAAAAAGAAAAAAGAGAAAGCAGTGTTGTTTTCTTCTTCTTTTCGCTGCTTCTGTTAGGGGTTGCCACAGCGGATCAGTGGTTCGCATATTTGATTTAGCACAGTTTTTATAGTGTGCAACCCCAGTGGCTGGGTTCGGTTCACTGGCTGGGAATTGAACCTGGGCCACAGCGGCGAGAGTGCCATGGCCTAACCACTAGTCTTCCAGGGACCCAAAAAACAGAAAGTAATAATAAATTGATATAAATATATAATAACTCTGGTATTAGTTACTATTTTTGGGTGTCTGGTGGTCTAGCGGATAATGATGCCACGGCCCGGGTTCAATTCCCGGGCAGGGAACCAACCCAGCCACTGGGAGTGTACACTCAGTGCCGGTCCCTAGCCCGGATAAAATGGGAGAGTTGCGTCAGGAAGGGCATCCGGCGTAAAACCTGTGCCAAATCAAACATGCGGACCAATGATCCACTGTGGTGACCCCTAACAGGACCAGCTGAAATAACAACAACAACAACATTAGTTACTATTTTTAACAGGGTAATAAGCTGTAATTTAATATATGAAGAATGTCTGTTATTTGGATGGTTTGGGACTTTGGATTTGGTTTTGAAATAAAAATCAAAATAAGTGCAGTATTTGCTTATATAAAGACTAGCAATTTTTTGTACTTTTTGGAAATTCCTGTTTGTTCTGATGTAGAAAAAAGCCAGTTTGGAGATCCTCATGTTTCACATGTGCTTCCTTGCACTGTGTGTGTGCGTGTGTGTGTGTGTGTTTGTAGCAATGATAGCTTTGACCTATTTGGCACTCTTGGTGAAATTTCACTTGGAGACTGAAGGGCATGGCAGGGGTAAGGAGACAGGCAGCATCCACTTAGCAGCATCACTGGGGCAGATCAGGGCAGATTTCACAAGTGTCTATATAAAACACGATGTGTCAGTGTCGCCCCTGGCAAGTTGGCGCCCTGGGCAATTATTTATGTTGCCTTATATACCAGGGAGTTTTACTGGTGGTTAGAGATACTGTTGCCAAAAATGAAGTGTACACAATTTTCCCCACAGTTTTTTTTTTAATTATTTTTTATTTTTTTAAGTTTTGTACTGGAACTATAAATCATAAGCACTGTAGCTAACAAGTAAGGGAAGCTCATAGCTACCAGTTTAGCAATGTGCAACCTGCAGGTCTAAATCATCACACACTCTCCTTAAAAGACATTGTCTCAGTAACACCATTTGTACAATTTGACTTATAAACCAGAAGAATGCATAGGTATTAAAAGTGTAACCAACAAAACTGTATAACTTGCATACAATTCTGTCTTCAAACTCCAACGTGAGCCTGATGCTTATGAAGAGGAAGCAAGTGATTCGGTTTCAAGAATTGTTTTTAGCTCTGTGATGCCCTTTTTGTCCATTTTTATAGAACATCATAAACCATATAAGCAACTCTTTTTTGAGGTGAGTGTGTGATAATTTAGACAGATTTAGAGGTTTGCATAACGATTAACTGGTAGCTATAGGATTTCTTTAACAATTACCAACATTCACTAGCTCTGGTGCAAATCTAAACACCGCAATAACTGTATTATATTATTATATAGTTTATCTAGTATCTATTATTATCAAATTTATCTAGTGTTTCCTATTAAAAGATTACAATAAACCAACTATAAGATTACCAAACTTATTTCTACTAATTTCAAGATTTACATTGTGTTATTCTAATAAAAATGATCTGCCAATAGAACTATTTCATTAGTAAAAAAAAAAAAAAAAGTATCTATATGTAGGTTTAATAATCTTGTAATGGATTTACTGTAATTTTATATTATGAAATACTAGATATTTATTACTTATTTATATTCAAGATATTTTCACTTGCTGTCATTTTTTTGGGGGGCAAATAAATGAATTTTAGAAAGGAAACATGTCTCACAGTACGCTGGAAAATTTTATTTTTGTCCAAAGCCTTCCTTTATTTCATGCCATGGATCAGTGAGGAAGAGTTGCCAGATGTTCCTGCAGCACTAATGACGATTATTATTTTATTGTTCCAGATGACGGCCCTTATTCAAAAGGGAATAAAGACTGCGCAGCCAATGACAGCAGTGTGGTCTCAAAGAGGCGCAGCATTCCAGGTAAAATGCTCATTAAATAAGATTAACAGAATTCTGTATGAAATGTTTCATGAGAGGTTCAACACACACACACACACACACAAATGTCATGATAGTCTTGTGTGCTGAGATGAATAGACAGCTTGTCTGCGCTGGTACTGATGCCGAACTTTAGAATCTCTTTAGAGTATAGAGTCCCTGCTTAACTCTACACACAACTTGTCCCCTTCTTCCTTCTTACAGTTTTCCTCTCACACTTTCTTGGTCTCTAAGGATTTGTGAGAGCAAATTAGCTTCTGTTTATAGATCAGCAAAGACAAACATTTTGTAAATACATTTCTGAGGAGCATCTGTCCTACAAGTTCCTGTGTCCTACAAGCACATTAATATAAACCTTGCAATATAAACTACTGTCAGAGCTGCTGTTATGGAAAACTGATCAACTTCTGATCAATCGGACTTCAGAATTCAACAGTGCTGTGGTATAAATTGTTTTAAAAAGCAGCACCAGTGAAATTATGGAAAACCGTTACCAGCTCATCTTCCAAAGAGATAAGATTGTGAGTATTAGACACAGTCAGGTAAAGTGATGTCATGAACAAGGGCGTGGCTTATTGGATTGGCTAGCAATCAAAATGCATTATTGTGCATCATGATGTAGGCTATAGAGATCCGAAAATAGAATGTAAGAAGATACATAAAGAGTGATTTTATAATAAAATCTTAATGTAAAGTATAATCAAATTGTGAAGTGCGCAGAGATTCTCACCTCTAATCAGTGCTGCTAAAATCTCTTAAATTATTTCCCTAAATGTTCAAGATGCTGGCTGAAATGCTGTCCTGATTTTTCTGTGTATGTTTGTGTGTGTGTGTGTATATGTGAGTGTAGATGAGATTCGAGGTCTGACCACAGTGGAGCTGATAAAGAGAGAAGGCTCCAGTCTCGGCCTCACCATCTCTGGAGGCTCGGACAAAGATGGCAAGCCTCGAGTGTCAAACCTTAGACCAGGAGGCCTGGCAGCCAGGTGAGACAATGCTCTCTCTCTCTCTCTCTCTCTCTCTCTCTCTCTCTCTCACACACACACACACACACATACACACAGATATGCACACACACACACACACAAACACACACACACACACACACACACACCTAAAAATTTGATAATAATGCAGTTGTTTGCAATATGGTTTGATCAATGACTGGACATAATACAATCTATCAAATAACTTTCCATGGGTCTTTAATACCACTTGTATTCACAGGAATCAGTTCTGTTTGTTAAAATAATATCCACCCAGTATTTTGTGCCTAGTAAGTTGTCATAAATTATACAGTGAGGCAACAATGTAAACGGGTATTGGCCATCCCTTTGATTTTTTTTAATTAAAGGTGTGAACAGTCAGCCAGTAAGCCAGAGAACTTTCACACTATTTTCACTAAACATCGCCGAAAACTGCCTACTTTCACAGGTAGAGGGGCCATTTGAAGGACAATGCGACAAATCACAGACTTTTTCTGTAGCTCGTCGATAAACTCACATGAATTACTTCAAATAAATCTGCGAAATGACTCTTAAATACAGCATGCTGTAAACATGTCGGCATGATATGTGTCTTTCCAGTGGTAAACAGCCTATGGAAGAGTTTATACGCAGAAGTTTCAAAAGCCAACCAGATTGCGAGCTTCAAGATCCTGAAGCTTGTGGCCAGATAAGTGTACAAAAGGTGCTAGATGCTTTGTGGGAGGCTGAGACAAGTCAGGTGGCAATGTTGTCAGTATTGTCAGGAGAACAAGAAGCCTGGATGATTGAATGGCAGGATCAGAAGTAGGTGTGCATGCAACATGAAAACATCAACATGGAGATGTCCTGTTTGGTGTAAACAGTAAGAGTTGGTGGTGGATGGTGCAGGGTACATTATTCTGGCACACATTACAGCCTTTAATACCCACTGGAGAAATCCTGAGCAGCACGTAATGACCATGTACACCTTTTCTTGGCTACACTTTACTCACATTCAGGTGGCCACTTCCAGCATTATTATGTACCCTGTGATTAATCTCTTGGATAAGGTTGAAAGTGTCTTGCATTAAGACTGTGCAACTTAAATCACTTCTGCATGGAAAAACATTTCATCCAGCATTTTGTGTAAACGCCCTGACCTTTAAGTTCATGTGCAAGGTGTAATATACTACTAAATAGGTGTACATAACCTGAAACTCAGTGATTATGCAGCTTTAGTTTGTGTTTGTGTGTGAGGGTGTGATCTCAGGTCAGTACTGATGCATCACAACAACCCCTGAGACCATGAGGTCAGGCAAACACCTTTGGACGTTTGAAAATTGAAATAGAGTACTACAGCTGACTTGTGAGGTGTAAAAATAACATTAGTGCAGCAGTGTGTGTGTGTGTGTGTGTGTGTGCGTGTGTCTCCACTCTCTTCACAGCTAGTAGCAGAAGGTGTGAGACAGTCCAAAATTACAATGCAGCCCAGTTCACTGCATGCCTAGCCTTTCAGCATGTGCGTTTTTTCATGAAGGAGGCATAAACTAAAGGAACGCACCAGCCAAAAACACGTTTTAAACATCTTAAATCTTTTTCTAGATCAAATTATAAAATAATGAACTGTTTGATGTAACAGTTCCATAAAAAATAAAACGGCCAAGAAGCACATCCATTTTTACATTCATGATGATTCATAAGGGGCATGAATCAGGTTCGACATGCAACTGTAAATACAAATTTTACAATTCAAACTAAACTGACAAACCAGCCGCAAAAACAGACTACAAACATATTAAACTACATATAATATCTGCTTGATAATCATGAAGTCGGTTGTGGAGATGCATGGAAATATGTAAGCTTTGTATATATGTTTTTGTGGTTCGCAATTTTTAAGCTCATCAACAGCAACTGAATGTAATAAATTACTCGAAGCATGGCTGTGATTAAATTTAATTTAGCACATATCCAAATTCAGAGGCTAAATGCAGGTTTAGCAACACTGTCAATGCCTGCATTTGCATATTGTAACATGATTGGCTGTTATATTTTATGATGCAATAACACTTGTCTCTTAGACATTCAGTA